CACCGTTTGAGGTGTTGATTCTCGTGTTTTAGGCCGATTTCACGCTAGGTTGTGCTTGTTTGTGATATTTCAGGTCCTAGTACGTGAATGGAGGCTTGGGAGCGAGTCTGGGGTCGATTGGACGAAGATCGGACGCGTGGCGAGGTGTCAAGGAAGCTGCACGGGCAGACCGATGCCTCACACGGCCGTGCAAAGGAGCAGCCAGGTCGTGTGAAATTGTGCGAGAGCATGCACGGGCACAAGTGGTTTTCACACGGCCGTGTCATTGAGCAGCCTGGCCGTGTGATTTCTGCCGAGGCCGAGCACGGGCAAACTGGAATTCTCACACGGCCGTGCACCCTGGCCGTGTGACAAGCCTGAGGGTCGAACTTAATGAAACTCTGCGTTTTGAGCCGCACGGCCAAGTGGGTGAGTCGCGCGGCCGTGTGGCCTGGCCGTGCGAGTCGGGAAATCCTGGTTTTAGAGCCTATTCCGAGCCAAAAGTAGAGAATCGAGTTTTCAGAGCAAAAACAGAGCCCTAGAGAGAGAAAGTACGAAGAACACATCCTAGAAGCTATCTCGGAGCTGGGTTTCGTTGAATCGAGCTTGGAGATCGTCATAGGAGTGGAAATCATCATCCCGGAGCAGATTGTCCTCATCGTTATGAGTATGACTACTCCGATTACTGTTTTCTCTTCTCTCTCTATGGAGTAGAACCCTTCTCTCACTTGGGTATGAAGAACCCTAGTTCCTGGTGTTAGGGATTTGATTGTAATGACTTGGGATGATATTACTGTTTGATGTTAATCGAATGATGCATGTTTATTGAATTGATGGGAGTCTGATCAGCTTTTCTCAATTTCTGCTGCAACCTGAGATAGATAGAATCTGATTAGGTTGTTAGAGTCTCTTCATTCGATAGTAGGAGATTGGCTATACGAGAGTTAGCCAGTTTACTGCTTTGTACTGGAATTCAATTCCAGTAGTGGAGTTCTGTGTTCATAGCCTCAGCTTTCTATCCCGGTGAAGACTAGTCGTCTGCCGGGTAGCTAGACTGAGAGGGCTTGGTCAGCTTAAGAGATTCCAAGCTACTGTCGGAGCTTCCGCAGTCTAATCAACAGTAAATCAACACAGGGGAATTACAATTGAACCTAACTAAGGGGCTAGGGGGACTCAATCCCGAGTGACTCTTACCTGCTTTAGAAAACCGAACAGTTTACTGCTTTCTTACTGCTTTTGCTTTTTAACAACAATCACTCGAACTAGTTTGCTAGATAATAGAGAATCACGGAGTAAGCAGTAGATCTAGACCCCGGGTTGATAATTGAACTTGCCTGTTACTGCATTCCCGGACTGCGATTACACTTGGTCGCAGTTTGGTGTTGTGTTTTGGTGTGTCAAGTCACTAGAGGCAATATAATCCCATCATGAGTGAATAGTAGCCCATGACGGAAGGTGTAGCCTCCCGGATCCTCACTAAGGGCTCTCATACGGAAAACCTGATCGTAGGGAATGGTGTCTGCCCCTATTCCCCTACCTGATGTGTCTGGCTTAATCACAAATGACTTAGACACATCAGATAGAGCTAATTTTGGGATCGTGGACATGGCCGCCTTCAACTTCTGAAAGGCAGACTCGGTTGCTGCGTTGCAACCCCAACCACCCCTCTTCAACAAACTAGTGAATGGTTTGGCGATCATACTGTAACCTTGCACAAATTTTCAGTAACACCCGATCAGTCCCATAAACCCATGTAGCTCCGTTGAACTCGTCAGTGTCGACCAATCCAGCATCACCTGGATTTTGGACTGGTCAACTTGCACCCCCTGTGGTGTGATGACGCTCAATTTATAGTGTTTATCATGCTCACATTTGATACATTTTCCCCTTATATTGATGCATTATTCCAAAATATTAGCTTCCTTCAAATAACTACTCTTTGATGTTGTTTTATATAACTTAGAAGTGAGTTGATGCGATATCGAATAACATGATATTTAATTCTCGTGGTCCAAAGATGAAGATTCAGATTCGAAGATATATTAATTGATTGGGAGCGTTTAAAATGGACAAAATGACAAAAGTAGACGTACCATTTATGTGTTGTGTAGCATTGTGTGCACACTTGAATTCAATTCAACAAGCTTGAGTACATGCATTAGTGGGGAACCAGATCGGGTGCTTAAGTTTGTGGTCAATAACTATACATAACCTAAACAGTATCCGCCACATCAGCATCCCACTCTCTCTCATTGAAAGCCTTTAATCTTTTCCCCTTTAATTTTTAACGGTCGATTTCTCTCTCATTTTAAGTTGGAATTTAATTTTTTTGCACAGATAAATCAGATTAATTGTGCTCTTCAAAATGACATCCACTTTGATATATTTTTGGAACAAAAAAATCAAGGCATTTTTTACTAGTCTATAACATGGTGGTATTGGTTGGTATTAAAATAAGAGCATAACATATGGTATGAAAGCGTACCATGGTGGTGTAAACATACCAAGACTATAGGATGGTTGACATGATAGTAGGAGTATATTAACTGTCATTTACGACTTTCAACATTATGTAACTGAAGATACCACCCCCATACCAGGGTGGTTCTGTGTGGTATGTTTTGGTCCTGTATTTTGTTCACCCATAAATTTGTACATATAATAAATCATTATGAACTCGTTCTTTCTATGTAAATTTTTTTAAAAACGACTTAAAAACGAAGGAGTACCATATAGTATGCAGCTGGTAACAGGGGGTATGAATTTTTTTCTCAAAAAATATTGAAAATAGATCTCATTTTGTAGAGCACAATGAACTCGTTCCATTTGTGGAAGAAAAAAAAAATGAAATCCGAGTTAGAACGAAGAGGATAAAAGTCAATAAAAAAATAGAAAAAATAAAATATCTTTAGATCCCCTCTTAAATCTAAATTTTCTAAGCCACTTTAAAAAAAGTTAGAAATTTAGTTATTCAAAGCCAACTTAACTTGAGCCATTAGTGGGAAGCAATTGTTGCTCCGCAAAGGCCAAAGAAGCAGCTCAATTGGGTGGTTACTCATCAGTGTAAGGTTGGGTTTTGCTCACGTGGAGGTATGTTTAGGCTCAAGATAGGGTGCATAACCATGGGTTATGCACCCATCAATAACCAAATCTGGACCCTTCATTTAGAGAATTCAGATCTAAAGATGGAGAATTAAAGGCTATTTTTATTTTCACTAGCTTTCTTAATTGACTCATATCTTTTTCGTTTTAACTCGGATTTTAATTTTTTTTGCACAGATGGAACGAGTTCACCGTGCTCTACAAAATGAGATCAATAGTCAATATTTTTTTAGGAAAAAAAAATTCTGGCCTCTTGGTACCAACTGCATACCATATGGTATCTTCTTCGTTTTTAATTCGTTTTTGAAAACGTTTGCACAGCAGGGATGAGTTCATCATGATCTACTGGATCTACAAATTTCTGGGTGAACAAATTACAGGACCAAAAAATACTACACAATACCATACAATACCACCCTGGTACGAGGTGGTATTGTATGGTATCTTCTTCGTTTTTAATTCGTTTTTGAAAACGTTTGCACAGAAGGGACGAGTTCATCATGATCTATTGGATCTACAAATTTCTGGGTGAACAAATTACAGGACCAAAAAATACCACACAATACCATACAATACCACCCTGGTATGGGGTGGTATTGTGTGGTATACAATGTTAAAAGTCGTAAATTACAATTAATATACTTCTACTATCATGTATTCAACCATCCTACAGTATTGGTTTGTTCATACCACCATGGTACATTTTTCAAAACATAGGTATGCTTTTATTTCAATACCAGTCAATACCATATGGTATAGGCTGGTAAAAAATGGCTCAATATTTTTTTGTTCGAAAAATATATTAAAGTGGATATCATTTTGAAGAGCACAATTAATCTGATCTAACTGTGCAAAAAAAATTAAATTTCGACTTAAAATGAGCGAGAAATCGTCCGTCAAAGATTAAAGAGGGAAAAATTAAAGGCTTTCCATGAGAGAGAAGATGCTGATGTCATGCTGATGTGGACGGGTTACTCATGGTTACTCACCATAAAGTTACTCACATGATCCATTCCCGTATGTTTAATGATTAATGATTAATCACATGTTCCAGTAATCTATAGTTTGTTATAAATGAATTACGTACGTTTTGAGAAATTTATTTTAAAATATTTTTTTTGTATTTGGTATTTAAAAGAATTTATTTTCAATTCTAGATTTTGAATTCTATGGAATTGGAACTAGGGCTAAATTACACGTTTGATCACTCAAATTACATAAATCTTTCACATTTGCCACCCGAATTACTTTTCTTTCTAATTGGCCACTAACTTTACAAATCGTTTCACCGTTAGTCACCGGCCGTTAGTCTCCGTCAAACTCCGTTAGTTTTTTGATGACGTGGCAAACGGGACTGATGACTGGATGGTTAACTTAATGACATGTCAATAAAAAAATAACTAATAAATAATTAACAGGTGCCCTGCACCCCACCGTGAACTTCCTCCGCTGATCCCCCGCGGCCAGTAGTTGGCTAGTTGCTGCCAGCTTCTGTTAGGAGATTCAACGTCCTTCAGAGGCTGTCTCCGAAAGGGATTGTGAATTAGAATGGTGGGTATTTGTGGGGTGGCGATCTTATTCCTACAGAACTCAGACCCCCTATGGGCATCATAGCAAACTCCAACTGGACCAAGAACACCACCACCACTGACAACAGCAACCGTGACATGGGCTTCCTCCTGCTCTTCTTCCCCGACCACAAGAACTCTTCCGCCGGGCTCCAGGATTCTCGTTTCCGACGGCAAACAGACGGCTCACATCTATGATTACACCCTGTCCTCCTCCCCTTCCTCTGGCGATTCTCCAGAAAATGCAAAACCAGCCATGAAAGGAACCAATTCCAGCAACCCAATCCTTACCAAAACTCAATCCACCATCTCCCGCCCACTCCTTGTTGGTCCTCTTCTCCTTCCTCCTCTTTGCCCTCTCCACCTTCGAGCCCCGTCCCCTTCCCACCCGTCTCGTTCCCCACCAGTTTCTGTCCAAGAACCACCGTGCTGGAAGAGGGAGAAGGTGGAATTACTGGCTCGACTCCGCCACCAGCTAAATCGCTCGCGGCGGCGGCAGGATTGTCGGGAGGAGGAGGAAAGAAGCTGAGGATTACTCCAACGATTTTTCCTCTGCTAATTCTTTTTCTCTCTAAGGGATGGGCAGGCTGTACCGGCCAGCGGGGAACCATATCCATGGCCAACCTCCACGTCAGCCACGTGGTGGAGGACACGAGTTTTGCCTCTTCCTACGGATGTTCCTCCAGTCCCTCTCCTTCCAGATCCGGATCCGAAACTATAGTTCGCGAGGAGAACGACTTTTTCTCCGCGCTCCTCCGGCTGCATTGCGCGAAGAATAACTATAAATCGCCGTTGAAGGAGAGAGGGAAATGCTCTTGGTCCAGATTTGACGCGGAGCGGTTCGTGAAAAGAGTGAATCACAGCAACGGAATGGTTAAAGCGGCAGCGGCGGGGACGATGGAGCCGACTCTTCTGCGGGGTAAGAAAATTCGAATCAATACTACCATTAATGGCAGTTACAATCCTGCTCCAAGTGGTGATGGCTAGTCCTCCATCGACGATGACGAGTCGACGACTCGGGTGGGTTACAGGTCGGTGGTTAGATTCGAGGTGAACGAGCTCGACCTGGAAAACTCGCTACCCGGTTGACAATCCCTTCCGGAGACAGCCTCTAAAGGACTTCGAATCTCCCAACGGAAGAGGGTGGCAGCTTGCCAAACGCCGGCTGCTGGCAATCAACGGAGGAAGTTCACGGTGGGGTACATGCCACATGTTAATTATTTATTATTATTATTATTATTATTTAATTGACATATCAATAAGTTAACCATCCAGTCATCAGTGCCATTTGCCACATCATCAAAAAACTAACGGAGTTAACGCAGTTTGACGGAGACTAATGGCCGGTGACTAACTGTGAAACGATTCGTAAAGTTAGTGTCCAATTAGAAAGAAAAGTAATTCGGGTGACAAATGTGAAAGATTTATGTAACTTGAGTGTCCAAACGTGTAATTTATCCTTGGAACTAGTTATAGTAATTCCAAGAAATTGAGATGGAATTTCGAAATGAATTCCACAAGTATTTACTAATTATAATAAAATGACATAATTATCCTAATTTATTAACTAAATTACTTCTACATATATTGTTTGGGGCCAACTCATGTAGTATGAGGAACTTCGACGAATTTGGTTGCAATGCTCATAGCATATTTTGATTATTTGATATTTCTGCTTCGATTGTAGTAGTACGTTGAGAAGCCACGATTAGAGTGTAGGATTCATCAACAAAATATTAGAAAATAACTAATGAATGGAATAAAAACACACAAGGACACTTCTAGTATTCTACTTATAAGACTAAAGACGTTTTTTAGAAGATGAATTTCAATGAGTATTGTTTCTGCTGGAATATAATGAGGGTGTAGTTGGAAATTTTTAGTTTAATTCAATTCTAAACGTATGTCAAACATGGTATGGGAATTCAATTCATTTTATTTTTAAAGATTTGAATATGATATACCAAACACATGAATTCATTTAAAACTGAATTCTACATGTTAATTTATTTTAAACATACCTTTTGGTTTAAATGAATTCCATAAGTTTTGAGGAATTCATTTTGAAATGAAATATTTGTTTGTTTGGTATTAAAAAGAATTCATTTTCAATTCTAAATTTTGAATTCTACGGAATTAGAACTAGTTATAGCAATTTCGAGGAATTGAGATGAAATTTCCAAATGAATTCCACAAGTATTTACTAATTATAATAGAATGACATGAGTATCCTCTTTTATTAACTAAATTACTTATACATATGACATACCAAACACAGGAATTCATTTGACAATGAATTCTACACGACACTTCATTTTATTTCTAAAGATTTGAATATAACATACCAAACAGAATTCATTTGACAATGAAATCCTATGTTTGTCACCCGACCATATTAACTATACTATAGTGGATTCGCCATTTTCATAATCGATCCCAAAGTCCGAGTTTGTCACCCGACCATTCCACCGAAGAATAAGCTGAAACTTCTTAAATTTACCCATGTCTGCAAAATACAATAAGTAACTATTAGCTTATCTCGAATAAGACTACTATAGTATAATTAGTACATTAGAGATACAAAAATAATATCATCCAAATCCATTAACAACCGCAACTAACTGATATATCGTGAGAAAACTAAACAAATTCATCTAAATTCATAACTAACTAACATCAATCATACCATAATTCATCTAAATATCTCTAACATAACATATTTACCAATAACCGGTGAGCTTTATAATTATAACATACCGAATCCCGGTGAGTTTCTTGTTGTTGTAAGCCAACTGAGAAAATGACCAAAAAAAGCACTAATTTTGTACTGAATTGCTGTAAGGCAGCTGGAGATACGTGAGGGATGGGTTTTTATAGCAAAATATGAGGGCTAATCGCGGTGAACACATCACCACTTTCGACCAAGACGGTGAAAGCTAGGTCGTTGTTACCTAACTTCCAACCTACCAGAGTCGTAAAACGTGATAAATGATCCCCGTTTTTAACGACAGCGGTGATGTATTCACCAATTTTCACAGACGCGGTGAAGGTATCACCATTTTAGAGGGATGCGGTGATAGTTCACCGTCTTTTACGGCGGTGAACTAACGCGGTGATGATGTTCACTGTCTTTGTCGACAGCAGTGATGATCAAACTGCTGTATTTTGGGAAATATTTTCATAACTACTATATTTTGGGAATTTTTTTAATAACTAGTGTATTATGAGATTTTTTCCTCTGCTCGGAGCCAAATGCATAATGTACGAGTACATGCATGAAGGCAGCCTTAGAGATAATTTGCTAGGCTACTCTCAGTTTCAACTTTCATCTTGGATCCGGAAACCGGACTGTCAAGTGGTACGATTCGGATCCGAGTAGCCCACACTAAGTTTGCTCTGCCCTGGCCTTCCTCCACTCCGCTAAGCCCAAACCCATCGCCCATGGCAATTTGACCGTCTCCAGTGTTCTCCTTGACCGAAACCTGGTTGCTAAATTATCCGGGTCCGGGCCGAGTCCCTTGACTGATGCCCAGTATGATATTCGAGCTCTTGGGGTGATCTTGCTCCATCTCTTGACCGGAAAAAACACGGGTGAATGGTCGAAAGTAGGATGAAGTTGGACTAGTCGGCCATGTTTGAGATTTTGGATGAGATGGCTGGGCCCTGGCCATTGGGTCTCGCTGAGGAGCTTGCTAAAATAGCCATGAGGTGCTTGTCAACCGAACTGGATGTTGCAAATGTTCTCAAGGATATTGAGGAGTTAAGTAAAAAGGGAGATGGCATAGTGTCCAGATTTGGACGTCACGTTAGGGTAAGGAGTGGAGCAGGTGATGAAGATTATTGTTGGGGTGTAAATATGGCATGGCCCAACCTAAGTAAATATGGTCTGCAATGTACATATGGACCCAAGCACCACAAAGCACCACAAGGCCCAACTGAAGCCCAGCAAAATATCACAAGGTTTTACCTATAAATATGCTCCTAGGTTTTCCAAGTAAGGGACCTCTTCTTCTCCTCTACTCATTTTGACATATCACTTATCTCTCTACAATCTCTCTCTACCTAAGATCTCCTTATTTCTCTATCATTGTACTAATGTTGATCGTCGGAGTGTAGATAATGGGGGTCATCCCCGCCCTTTCACAGACCGGGCGCCATACTTGTTTCGTGGCTGAAACAATTGGCGCGCCAGGAAGGGGAGGAGTCTGCTCGGCCAGGAGGCACCTCACTCACCAAGAGGGACTTTATAAGGCTCCTAACGTTCGATTATGAACAAGAACCAATTGTTTCATGGTGGCTCTCAATCGAAGGCAAGAAAACATAGATATTGATGAGGGAGGAGGTATAGGACGTCGGGAGTTAAAAAAAAAAATTGAAGGAACTTGATAGAGTAAGCACGGAGGCGAGGCTCCTGGAAGGTCGAAAGACAAGGAGGTCACAATTGTTGGTGAAGCGCATACACCATCAAACAGCAGCAAGTTGCTGATGAAGAAGAGTCTACGACTCTATTTGTACGGGCGCCTGATTTCGGGAGCATGATGAGCAAACCCCACCGACACCTCATCATCATCAATAGGCGCCCAGGCTAAATATCACTCTAGAAAATGGCCAAGTGTAACCACCTCCTAAAGCGTAGTATAGGGTTTGGGTTTTAATGTCAACCCGGGTCCTAGATGTGATGACTACTCCGTGAGTTCTTATTATTTAGCAGTGAAACTTTAGTGAAGATCCTAACAAGCAAACAAGCAAAGCAAGTAAAGAGGTTGTTTTCAAGTCGAGAGAGGTCACCCGGATATGGTTCCCCCTAGACTGCAGTTAAGTCGGATTGTAATTTACCAAGTTCAAGTTCAATGATAGTTATACTGCGGGAGGTTCTTAAACAGTCTGAAGTCTCGACTAAAGGTCTCCAGACCCTCTCAATCTGAGTCCCCAGCGGGTGACTAACCTCCACCGGAGTAAACAGATTGAGGCCCTAACGAACCAAACCTCCACTACCGAAGTAAATTCGGTACAGAATAGTGAATTAACTCCTCGACTAAATTTGCCAATTCACTACCTTCAATCAAGGGTGCTCTATCAACCTAGGCAGATATTCTCTTTCTAGGTTAAAGCAGAAACAACAGGAATTTGATCAGGATTCAAGCCATTCAACAAATCAAACCTCAATTGAATATAATCAAGGGTAAATACAATTTAATATCCAAACCTTTCATTTTAAACAATATAATAGCCAAACCTTTTCGAAAACAATCTAATATCCAAATCGTCATCTTTCCGTCCGTTTGACCGTTGGTTGACACTTCAAAAAAGCTTTGTTTAGGGGAAATTGTCACAATACAACTTTGTTTTCTTGTTTTGGCATTGCAGATGACTGAATATTTAGATATTCTATACCATCATGGTGGAGTCATGGATTTCTCGGGTTTGGAACCACGATATGTTGGTGATTTTCAGAGAAGATATCGATGGATATTGATGAAGCGTCGTATTTCGAACTTTTTTGAAGTGTCAACTAACGGTCAAACGAACGAAAAGTTGATGATTTGGATATTAGATTGTTTTCGAAAAGGTTTGGCTATTATATTGTTTAAAATGAAAGGTTTGGATATTAAATTGTATTTACCCTATAATCAAATCATAGAATCTGTACTTGGGTTCATACAATCAGGCCTAACATACAAATCTAGGGTTCTTCATACCCAGGTGAATAAGAAAGTTAATCCATAGAGAGAGATGGGAAATCTAGCTCAGATGCGGAAACCATACAGTGAAGGATGATAATCTGCTTCTGGCACTCAATCAGCTCTTCTCCAAGCTCAAGCCGGGCTCCAATGGTGATGGAGATCGATCTAGGACACTTGCAGAATCAGGTTCGTCACTTTCTCTCTCTAGGTCACACTTTTTCTCTCTAAAACTCGGAACCCCTCTCCTTTGGCTGGAAATTGGGTTAAAACCAGAAATTTCCGATCATACGGCCAGGCCACACG